GCCCGGTTCCTTTCCACTCGACGAAAGAACGCCTCTGGAGACACCAATGGGGAAAGAATGATGCCTGTGGGTGTGGCAGGTTTACGAATTGCCATTGAGAAGATGGAGGTGGAGTCCGTTGAGCAAGGAGGGAAAATGGAACGACTTTTAGAAAAAATGAACGAGACCGATCGTACCATCGCTGGAATTTGCAAGGAGCTGTTGCGGGAAAAACAACACCCGCTTCTTGAGCTTCTGATGGATAAAGTGAGGGTGCAACAAAGTTGCACTGAAGCGGAGTGCCTCGCGGCCCACTACCACCAGGAATGTCGCTCGATCATGAACCGTGAAGAAGAGTACGCGCAGGCGCTGAGTGTATGCGTTTCCGTTATACGCCACATGCTTCCGTTAGCCTCTAATTTTCCAGCCATTCGGGAGGAGGCTCAGCTGGCGCTCATGTTTGCTAATCTCCCCTCTCTTTCTACGACCGACATGATTTCCGTCTTTGAGAGATCCATGAAAACAGGGAATGTCCCATCCACATCTCTTCTTGACTCGCAGCGGGCATTCTCATTTGTGGAAACCGTAGAGGCACGCCTACAGCGCCTAGTGGAGGACCATGAAAAAAGGAATTCTGCGGCACGTCAGCCGCTCCAACGTCGATTACAGCAGCAGGCCAAGGGAACCTCCTCCAGCAAAGTCTTTGGAAGAATTGCCAGTCAAGGGAAAGGCCGTACGCAGATGCCGACGAGGCCACCACGTTTGGGCCAGGAGACACTTTTTGCCCAGCACGGCACAACATCGTTGCGTCAATCGGCATCGAGTGAATCTACGGCGCGGAAAAAGTCGTTAGGTTTTAATTCAACAGCCTCCGCGAATGAGAAAAAAGTCAAGTTTGTAGAATTTACAAAGAACACGGTGCCAATTGTCCCCCCACAGCAACCACAACGCCGCAACGGCAGTGGCAAAGTTAATTCTGTGACGAGATCCACATCAAGGTCTATGAAAGCAGCTACGATGCCGGCTAAATTTGGTCGTTCACACACCGCAACGGAGGCTCTGCACATCAACAGGCCCAACACTGGGAGTATATCGCCATTTCTAACTCGGGTAAACATTCAAGAGCGATTTCAAAAGCCACGAAACTTGCCATCACCAAACCGCGCTGTTCCCTCCCGAAAGGAAAACGACACTAAAATGCCGTTGCGACAGAACCATGTAGCGTTTCAGGTGCCTGATAATGGACGAGCTTTGAGTGTTCCGCATGAGCGACTGAGGAAAAGCGACCTCGAGGAGCGATTTACGAGGCTTCTCACTGAAGTACAGCAGTGGAAGAATGACAATGCCGCCACAAGGAGCAACCATACACCAAAACAAGCGGCCAATGACAACGAACGGAGAACTATGCGCGAGGCTCGAATTATAGACAATTCTCATGCGTGAGTGCGGAATCCCAAAAGTAAGAAAAAGATGCTTAAAACGAATGAAGAGCGAGAAATGCAAAAAAAATAAAAATAAAAAAAATAAAATAAAGTAAAATAAAAAACAAATAAAAAACAGATAAAAAACAAAAGACAACAACAAAAACAACAAAAAAGGATGATAAAATCTCTGTACTTTTACTCACATGCTATTTGACGCCCCTATTTTTTAAAATTGATTCTCTAGAGGCTTATGGAAGGTGGTTCCTGACCAGATTGGGCTCAGTAAAAAAAAAAAAAAAGAAAATGACACTTTTTGTTTAAGTGCGCCCGATTTTTTATTTATCAACTGCTTTTTTTGTTGTTGTTGTTTTGTTTTTTCTTGGGTTTTTTTTTTTTTCTTTTTTTTTTGTGAATGGCCTCTGCGACACAGAGTCAGGCGCAGGGAAAGGGCAAGGAAAGCACAGGATAGGGTTGTTGCACGCGTCCAAACGTAAAAGAAAAAGAAAAAAAAAAAAAAAAAAAAGGAGAAGCAAAGAAAATAGGAAGAGAGGAGCGAATAGACATGTCTTCAAAGAAAAATAACGAAGGGGACATCACTTCCAATGGGTCGGACTCATCGTCGGTGGTGTATCAAGCGCCATTTCCCATCACAGGCCCGGAGGTTCAGCATGGGGGTCGAACCTACCGGCTTGTGACAAAAAAGGACTTTTTTACGTTTCGCGAATTTGCCGATTCCCTGGACGGCTTTGAGATGCAGTACAACCGCCAAAATGAGTTTATTTCTTGGAATAAGAAAGTGGCGGGAGAGCCGATGCGCATCATTAAGGTGTTTGGCGTCCTTCCCAATGTACTTCCGGCGACGCTGTACGATATGCTACAGGATGCAACGTTCCGTGCATTGTGGGACACTCACCGCATTGATGCGTTTCGTATTGTGAAACTTGACGAAAACAACGATATAGGTTACTACGCGGCTAAAAGTCCGGTACCTGGAGTCTCAAACCGCGACTTTGTAAATCAACGTGCGTGGATTAACTCGGGAAATAATGAGTATGCCATCTTCAATACATCTGTTCCCCATCGAGACGTGCCAATTGATTACCTGAAGGTAAATAAGGTTAGCAGTGATTCGGTGGTGCGTGGGATTTCAAAGATAACGGGGTATTTGATTCGTCCCTGGGTGGATAATAAAGGTGCGCTTGGTTCCTGCATCACTTACGTCACACAGTGTGACCCTGGCGGTTGGATCCCCGCACCGTTGATTAACTACATCAGCACCAAGGTTGCCCCCAGCACGCTCAAGACCGTCGCACAGGCAGCAGCACAGTTTCTGGAGTGGCTACCGAAGCAGGAAAATTACGTTAAGGATTGGCCTGAAACAGCGGATCCATTTGACACACCCGTGAAGAACGAGACAATTGCGTTTGCAAAAAAGAAATGGAGTGCAAATGGACACTTGGACAAGAAACATGCGAGCGATGAGAGGTTGGTGCAGTGATATCTCTATGCAGTTTTAGCGCAGTATGAATAATAAATACGAAAAACGAGCGAAAAATAGTTGAAAAATAAGAAGAATTCTGAGTATGAGCAGGTAATAAGCGGTTTTTGTGAAACCCTCAAAAGGAAGATGGGTTGAAGCGATATAAAAAAAAAAAAAAAAAAAAAAAAAAAACATTTTTGCTGTGAATTATATGTTGGAATATTTAGAATGCTTAGGAACCAGACGAGAGTACAATTTCTTGTTTGTTATCTAGGCGCATTTGTTGTTGGTGATCGTCCTTTTTTTTTTTTTTAATCTTTTTTTTATTGTTTCCTTTATTTTTCTGTGGGTGTACATTAACACATCATCTCGTGGTATACAATTAGTTTTGCTCCCCGTTTATATGCTGGCGACCGTTTGCACTTTTTTTTTTTTTTTTCCCTTGCGGAGAAAGAAAATTTTCCTGCTCTGCTGTCTCCACGTCGTTCTTTTTTTTTTTTTTTGATACAGAAGAAATGTGCGTGTGTATGTGTGTTTTTTCTTCTTCTTCTTCTTTGGAGTTTAATTGCTGAGTTGGTCTTATGTGTTGTGATGCCTTCTTTCCACAGTGTGTGTTTTCTCTCATTTTATTTCCTCTGCGGCAGAAACGCTGCGGGGCGGCAAGAAGAGGGGAGCCATTGCGGTAAGAAGCAGCGGAAAAGGAGGGGATTGACGTGCGTCCTTTTTTTTTTTCTTTTTTTTTTTTTTGTTGTTGTTTGGCAGCCGGTGCCGTCCAAATTTTATTATTATTTAAACCCTTTGCGTTTCCAGGCCGCCGTCGCTCTATCTGTGACGGAGCCGCGACATGCGGGGCGACAATTCCGCCGCCGCAAAGGGGTCAAGCAACAGCGGCGAAAAAAAGAAAAGGACACAATCACATCTTTGTGAGACAGGGGTCGCAAGCGCGGGCAAGAAGCGGAGCACGATCAGCTGCTTTCCATTGCCACCCCATGATTCAACAACAGACAACACCGAGCCGCCTTCCGTGCGGGTTGCCGCTGCACGACAACATGTGATGAGCATCGACAAGGACTCCAGTGTGACCACTCCCGTGATGGGAACAACCATCAGCAGCGCGACTGGTTCAAGGAGCGGGGTGCTGATTACAGACCCGTGGGTGATTTTACAACCACAACAGCCACCATTTCTTCGTGGCTGGGCCGCGCAACGGAGTAACACAAGGGATAGCAACAACGCAAAGACGGCCGAAAGGTGTGTCTTGCCACGCACAACTACAAAGAGCACGGCTACAATTCCAACACGGATGAATTTTTGCCAGGTTGCACACGAGATTTTGAAATCAAACACCGTTGAAAACGATGCATGTTTTGATGATGGCCGTGTTCGAAAATTGCAGCGCCTGGAGTTGCATTTTGCCTCTCCGTCGGAGAGGAAGCAGGATTTTACTCGTGTTGTGGATCCCTACACGGAGACGATGCGGCGTTTGGAGGAGGAGCATCATCGACGTTTTCGTCGGGCTCTTTATAGACTGCAACAGATACACCCAGACCCCTGGTGGCGTCTGCAGTCATCGGTTTACTACGACGTTGGCGTGCCTGATTTATTGGCATGCGATGAAAATCTTCTCTTTTCCCGTGTGGCAGGGGAGGTGCGGGATGCCGGTGTTACGTGGCTCTCCTTGAAGAACGCCACCTTGTAAGTCTTGTGCTTTTAGGGTGTCGGGTATGGACTCTCACGGATAATACGTGCCTTACGATTGCTGTCTAGATGTGTATTTGAGACGTTGACTGTACATTGATCAAGAGAAAAGAAGTGGGGAAGTGAAAAAGGAAAGGATGTTTTTTTTTTTCTTGTGAGTAGCCAAGGGATGCATAGAAAAGAATCGAGTTGAGAGAAGGTGAAGTGTTTTTTGCTGTTGGCTCCAGTTTTTGTATTCACTTTCCCCCTTTTTTTTTTTTTTTTTTTTTGCGTAGCCGCTACCTTGTGGGCGCAGTGCTCCAGGAAAAAGATACCACAGTTAGAAGTGAGGAGAAAACAAGTGGGTGAGCCAAAAGGGCGGGAGAGAGAGAGAGAGAGACGGAAGAACAACATCAGGAAGAAAAGGGATCGTGTGGGTCATGATGTTTGTGTCCACGTCGTACGAGTCGAAGTTAATTGGCGACGAGGGTCTGTATGCTGCTATTGAGGCCGCTCGTCTGGCGCGCTCTCTGCGTGGCGCGACAATACGTCCGCATGTTAGGGGAAACCCGTTGATCAACCCGAACAGCATTTTGCTCGCCAACACGCCAAAGAGGTGGGAAGCACGTTTACTCAGTGAGAAAGCGGAGCAGGAGATACTCGAGGCAATCAGCGGCGGTGACAAGGCGGTTTCACAATACCTTCAGCAGGTTCAAATTGCCATCCCCGAAGAAAAGGACTTGGAGAAGCTGCGTGCGGTTGTGCCCCGCATCCATCATATCCAGCCTCATCCAGTGATGAGGTTTGATGATGCCAAGCGACTCATTCAGCTGATGTCGTTACACGGTGCCAACATCACATGCCTCAACTTTGGAAATGGCGCTCTTATGCCAAATGATCACACAGAGGCTTCACCTGCCGAGGTGATGGCAAAGATGGAGGAGTTGAAACAGCGTTTTCCGCTACCCACACCAAAGCCGAAAAAGACTACTGACAGCGAAGAAGAAGAGGAAGAAGAGGAGGAGGATATCGACCTCAATACTAATGAAGAACTACAAAAATGGTGTCAAAACCAGCAGTTGGAGTATACGGATTACAACCAAGCCATTCGTCTTCGGGCAGCATACGAACTGGACGCCTTTCGCAACATTTGTGAGATACTCATGCATGATAAGAAGGTTCGTGTCTTGTTGCTGGGTAAAAATCGGCTAGGGGCGCCTAATGAGGAGGAACGTGTCTCACTCATCCCACTGCGTCTCCTGGCGAAGGTTATTGATGCAAATGAGACCATCAAAGTCCTGGACTTGAGTAGCAACGAGTTGGGAGCACACGGCTTTGGTATTATCGGCAAGGCCCTCACGAAGAATATTGCTATTGTCTCACTTGACCTTTCCGACAACCAACTTGGTATGCCGGTGCCGGATCTGGACGAAGATCCCGAGTACCAGGAAGAGGATCCTGTTTTTGGCGAGACATATAATGGACTGGAGGCAATCAGTGAGGTGCTGAAGAAGAACAAATTTTTGCGTCACCTGCGCTTGCGTTATAATCAAATTCACAGCGGTGCGGAGGGAGAGGAACCACCTGTGGCGGATCCAACGGAGATGGATCCGGAGAATGATGCCACCACACCGGATGTAGACGGATGGCAGGATCTGCCACTTTGGCGACTTGTCGGTCCTTTGCGAGAGTATCACCGACTACGGGCACTTGACCTTAAGGGAAACGCACTGGGCCCCGAGGGTGCCCGCATGGTTGCAACCGCTCTTGCTGAAAACCATTCCGTTGAGATGCTCGATCTCACAGACAACGGCATTGGGTTCCGTGGACTGCACTACATAGCAAAGCTTGTGTTGACATCACCGCACAGCGTTCTTCACACGCTTATCCTGCGGCGAAATAATCTTGCCGGTAAAAAAGGAAGTAAGGCGCAAAGGAAGATGGCACTGGCCGCCATGGAAGCAATGAGTGTGGCGCTGAATGGAAACACCAAATTACGTCGTTTGTCGATTGCGGGCAACTACCTTGGTCCCACCCTGTGCGCCGCCATGTTGTCTACTATCAGTACGGCCTCCGCATTGGAAGAGTTAGATCTCGAAAGTAATGATGCCTGTGGCGATGTGACCGCACCGCACGATACGACGGTGATGCACCTCATAGCTTTGGCGCTTTATGGAACGGCTCTACGCGGCAATCGCCCATCGTTGGCGGTGTTGCGTCTCGGCAGCAATAATATTCAAGCGGCAGGCCTACGTGTTTTGTTCCCGTCCTCTGCCACAATGCCAACCTCTCTTCGTGAAGTGGACCTCAGCCGTAACAACATTCGTGACGGTCTTGAGGCCGTGAATCATCTTTTGATTAGTTCTCCGGTACTGCATCGACTTGCCTTGGCGTACAACAGCATTACAACAGCTCCCGCACTACATCGGGGCATTGATGCGAACGAAAGCTTGTGCGAACTGGATATCTCACACAATAAATTGGGTTCCCTGAAGGAACAATACTGTAGCGACCCACAGGCGCAAGTGAGGGGAGTGGAGGAGTTGTTGCAGGTATTGATTAAGCACCCATCACTTGAATATGTAAATCTCAGTTACAACGAGTTTGAGGGTGTTCATGGGCCCCTTCTTGCCGAGCTTTGTAGTGGGAACAAGTCTAACAATTCTCTGCGGCGAATTGACCTCAGTGGAAACCCGGAAATCAATCAACAGGATATTGATCAGATGGTGCAGGCACTGGCAACAAAGCCTGGCATTGAGGCCTTCTACATTTCCTCTTCGTACCCAGCACAGGTAGAAAAGGTTGCGACCTTACGCCCAGTTGGCCAAGATGCTGTGCTCGATCCCGCAGCACAACGCCATCAGCAGCTGTCACTCTTGAAGCTCTTGCAGGAGACAGTCTACCAGAGTCCCTCACTAATTGACATTAACTGTGACTTGCAAAAGGGCGTCTTGTCTGAAGAAGACACCGGCACCGACGAGGGCGAAGTGATTGGAGAGATGCGACGGCGTCTGCTGCTGAATGCGATTTTGATGCCATATAGAAAATAAAGTGCATATGCATGTTTGTCTACGTGCTTGCATCAAATGGAGGAGGCAGAGCGGGAACCTCTGCGCACGCATCCATTACTACTGTTTTTTATTATTATTATCCTTGTGACCAATTTTTGTACTTGCACCCGGCACATAATCACACAAAAAGAAAAAAACACGCCAACAATGTAAAAAAGAAAAGAAAACATATATATATATATATATATATATATATATATATATATATAGGTAATTCGTAAATACGCAAATAAAAACGCGCGCGCGCGCGCGGTATTTCTTCCAAGGATGGTGATGAGGAACGGGAACAAAATGTGGAGGGCTACTCACGCTCCCAGAAATGAACATGTATGATAGGCCGAAGGGAAGGAAGTGCATCGGGTATTTTGGAAAGACCGCGGCGTGAAAGAAGAAAATCTTTTTTTTTTCTCCCATTTGGCCACGTGTACAATGCCTGAGTCCACCGCGGAAGAGGCATCCTTCCCTTGTTACGGTGTAACGTATTTTTTTCTTTTATGTTTTTGTTCTCTTTCTCTTTCTCTTCTCTTTTCCGTTGTCTGCATTTGTCTTTTTTGCCTCACTTTCACCGTCTGACTTTTTTTTGGATTTCTTCTTTTAACGACACACGGACATACAGCTCTGTGATAATACGGGAATAGTGTGGCGATGAGGATTGAACACTGCTCCTTTTGCGGGGCTCCGATCTACCCGGGGCACGGTCAAATGTTTGTGCGCAATGACTGCAAGGTATTCCGCTTCTGTGCCTCGAAGTGCCGCAAGAACTTTGGCATGAAGCGCAACCCCATGAAGCTCAAGTGGACCAAGACATTCCGCAAGGCGAACGGCAAGGAGCTTGCGGTGGATAGCACAATGGACTTTGAGCAGCGCCGACACGTTCCTGTCAAATACAACCGTGAACTGCTCCATGACACTTTGAAGGTCATGAAGCGTGTGGAAAAGATCAAACAGAAGCGCCAGGAGGCGGTATGGAACAAACGCATGGAGAAGGCTCGTCTGCAGGAGCGTCGCGACGCCGCTGTGGCCTTGAAGCACAATATCGACTGGATCGAGGATAGCGAGGTGAAGCACAAGGCGCGCGATGACTTGGTGGCGGTTCAGCAGGAGGTAGAGGCCAAGCGGCAGCAACGGCGTGAAGCCGCCCGCAAACGTTTGCAGAAGCAGCGGGAGATGGAACGTGCCGCGGGGTTCACACCCTTTTCTTCTGTAAAGAAGTGGAAATAGAGAAAAATGTGGAAGTGAAACATGTGAGTGGCTGCCGGGGATGAAATGATTATTGTGATAACGATGGGGAAGGACACACACACACACACAGAAAAAAAAAAGAAAACATATACATAACTTCTTTGTTTTTCGGAACGTGTAAGAGGGGATGGGGGAAAGGATGTATGAATGAAGAAAAAAGCCACAGATGACATGCGTATCCGGTAGTACTATTTGTGTGTTTGTAGGGAGAATAAAAAAAAAATGTAATGGCCTAATGAAGGCCACAAGTCGAATAAGTATTCATTAAACAAGGGAACAAAGCAAAGTTGGAAATTATTACACACGCATCTTGCTTGTGCCCTTTTGATAATTGAGGGGCTGGTGGCGATGGTGCTGTATTTTTTTTTTTTTTTTTCAGCTGCTTATTTCCGGTCTCTTTTCTTACAGATATCGCCATTGTTCTCTTTTTCCCTCTTTTTTTTTTTTTTTTTTTTTTTTTTTTTTTTTCATTTTTAAAAAATTGAATTTGTTATTTTTACCTTTTATCTCCCTTATATTTTACTTGCGGACAAATAGCGTAAAGGAGAAGAGAAAATCCGCCTTTTTCCTTCTTTCCGCGTGGGTGTGTTTCTCCCAGGAAAGATAGGGGGAGGTGTGGAAAATGGTTATAACTCGTTCGCAGTCGAGAAAAGAGGCTCGTTCTCTTATTTGTACGAGCAATGGCAGCAAAGACGATGCACCGGGTGTCGTGGGTGACGACAATCAGAACTCGACCCAGGAGCGCTTGGGCCGGGGTTGCCGCATTCCTCGGGAGCCCCCCGCGTCGTACGACTCAATGTACGTCAGGAAGGCCCTATTGCCATCAGTGAGGCGACGTGCGGAGCATGAGGAGCTGCAAATCAACTCCCGATACCCGCAGCGGGATGCAGCTAAACGGGCTGTTCTCAGGATGAGTTCAACTCTGCATTCATTGGGTGAGCGCACCAGGAGGAATTTCTGGCCTCTGGAGGACGATAATGGCGATGGCGACGATGAAAGCAGTTCAAACGACGGAAGTGAAGATGGCAGTGCATCCTTTCAGTCACTTGGGAGGAAATGCAATGGCAATCGGTTTACAAACTTGTCCCGCAAGCGCGTCCGAGAGCCATCCATTAACTCCTTTATCACAGATGACTCATTGCGAGAAGGATCTAATGGACGGGGAAAAGATGCGGATGAAGAATTGCTTGTGGAAGACCCATCTTCTCTTTCCTCGGCGGAAGGATGTATAAGCGAAGGTGAGGGACGCCGTGTGTTCAGGAAGGCCAAAGAGAGTACAGTAAAGCATATTCCCATAAACCACTATCTTGACGAAGTGATGAAAGCTTCTGAAAAAAAAACCAAGAAGGGAGACAAGCAGAAAGGCAAAACGCATCGGCGTCGCATGGAGGACATGTTTCTTGGCCTCAATGAAGCGCATGGTGGTCCGGTAGGTGCAGGGAAAGGTGGTGAAGGGCGGTCGATGACGGAGACACCCGCACCGCTTGGTGACATCACCCCACTGCATATTGACACCTCAGTTTCTTTTGAAAAAGTGGGCGGCCTGCCTGGTCATATTGTGATGCTGCGCGAAATGGTGCTTTTTCCCCTTCTATATCCGCATTTATTGCAGACGATGAACTTAACGCCGCCACGTGGGGTACTTTTTGTTGGACCTCCAGGAACAGGCAAGACACTTATGGCTCGGGCATTGGCAAATGAGGCTGCAAGCTGTGCGCAGCGTAAGATTGCCTTTTTTATGCGCAAAGGTGCTGACATTCTTTCCAAGTGGGTTGGTGAGAGTGAACGGCAGCTTAGTCTTTTGTTTGAAGAGGCAAGACGCCGACAACCGAGCATTATCTTTTTTGATGAGATCGATGGATTGGTGCCGGTACGCCATGCCAAGGCGGAGCAGTCACAGGCGGCACTTGTTTCCACACTTCTTGCCCTTATTGATGGGCTGGACGACAGAGGCCAGGTTATTGTCATCGGCGCCACAAATCGTCCCGATACGATTGATCCGGCACTTCGTCGACCAGGGCGACTCGATCGCGAGCTTTACTTTCCTCTTCCCGATGCTGCTGCACGTCGACACATTCTTTCTATTGTGACACAGCCAATACTTCCATTGGACCATCCCGATCGGAATGCGATTATGGAAGAGCTTGCCACACGCTGCGAGGGTTGGTCGGGTGCCGAGATTCAAGCCCTCTGCACAGAAGCAGGACTTAACCGCCTGCGAACGAGCCTGCCTCAGCTTTACGTCACCAGCCGGAGGTTACAAATTCCTAACAATGCCCTTACCATACAAAAAGAGGATTTTTTTGTGGCTGCCCAGCGTTTTAAAACCTCTGTGCGTCGTGGGACGGAGTCTATTGTAAAAGGTCTTGAGGAGCATCTTGAACACTTGCTTTACAGTACTAGAATGAAGTTGTTGTCGCATGTGGCGTCGATGTGGCCAAGTGCGGCAACGGCACTTGCAAATGAGCGACGAGATTGCAGTAATGCAAGCGATGCGGTACGGGAGTTAATTGGCTTTCCCATTCCTCATACTGTAAAGCCAATGTTGCTGTTTTTAACTTCTTCCGTTGAGAGAAACTTGTATGGTGTCGAGTCGTATGAATTTGCCCTGGAGAAAGCTGCCCTGGCTTTTATCAAGGCACTTCCATCAATTCGTATTTTTACCTTGAATCTTCCTAACCTCGTGGTGGACCGCGGAAGTGCACCGATGATGGTAACGGCTACAGGTTCTGCCGTGCCTGAGGGAGGTGCGGGTAACTTTGAGGAGCTTGGTTTTCCACTGAATAACAGCTTCACCTCGGGCCATATTTACTCTTGTATAATGGCCATTCAGCGCTCCTCTGGTCCATCGCTGGTTCTCCTACAAGGGTTGGATTTATGGCTGGCAGAGTATGGCTACCCCATCACTAATGAAGAGGGCAATGAAGGCGATGGGACGGATGAAGAGAGAACCCAACACAAGAAACAAATGGAATCATTCTGTTATTATCTTGCTCTTCTTCGTGATTCGGATGTGTTGATCGTTGCCCCTACGCTTCACTGTGACGTTCTCTCTCGATTCTTTGGTGGGACGCGGCTAAATACACAAATACACAAAACAGTCGGCAATGTTCCATGTGCACCCTCAGTTGATGATTTGCAACGTTTTCTGCAATACGTGATTCATGTGGTGGAATTGGCGTTATTACACTGTACGCATACCGTGTGGGAAGAATTACATGAAGATATTTCGCCTCCACCTCCACCCTCCATGGAAGAAGTGCGTGCGGCCCGCCATGGCACACTTGAGTTATGGCGGCGTGTGGAATACCGCCGGCGTCAGTTACGTTATGTGTTGTCGAAGTGGCTGGGTCAATACCTTGTTTCTCGCAAGTTTTCTATTCTTTGCAGTGCCGACCTTGACTTTCACACCGAGCCATGACCTCTATGATGAGTGGCGGCAACACACCCAGGGAAGCCGAATTGGTCTGTGTGATGTGATGGAGAAGCTTGAGAACGAAGAGTATACTAGCCTCTCTCAGTACCATGACGACATTGACATGCTCGTGCGGAATGTACGCACCTTCTTTAGGACGCGCTCTTCAACGGACCAGCGGTACCGCAGTCGCGCTCTCGAGCTGAAAGAGACAACCGTGCTGAATCTGTACAAGATCAATCGTAACGTTGTGCAGTTCTGTGAGCAGTACAAGGATCTAGCGGAACCTGACGTCTCATTATCCTCTCTTTCTCCAAATGAC